GAATAGAATTGAGAGTCCAAAAATAAACCCTCACATTTATGGTCAATTGATTCTTGACAGGGTTCCATGATCATTCAATGAGGAAAGAGTAGTATTTTCAAAAAACTATGCTGAGACAACTGAATATCCACATGCAAAAGAGTGAAATTGGACCCCCTATCTTCTATCATATATAAAAATTAACTTGAAATGGAACAAATACTTGTGTATAAAACCTAAAACTATAAAACTATTAGAATAAAAGATAGAGATAAATCTTTATGACCTTGGATTTGACAAGAGTTTCTTAGATATGACACAAAAAACACAAGAAAAAAAAAAGAAAAAGAAACAAATTGAGCTTCATTAAAATTAAAAACTGTGCCTAAAAGAATACTATCAAGAAAGTAAAAAGATAATCTACAAAATGGGAGAAAATATTCCTCAATCATATATCTAATAAGGGTCTAGTATCCAAAATACACAAAGAATTCTCACAACTCAAGAACAATTAAAAAATGGGCAGAGGACTTGAATAGATATTTTTCTAAGGAGGATGTTCAAATGGCTAAGAAGTATTTGAAAAGATGCTCAAGATCATTAGTCATGAGGGACATGCAAATGGAAACAACAATGAGATACCACTTCACATCTACTTGAATGGCTATAATTTGTAAACAAAGAAAAAAAAGGAAAATAACAAGTGTTGGTACAGACATGGAGAAACTGGAACCCTTGTGCATTGCTAGTAGGAATTTAAAATGGTGCAGCTTCTGTGGAAAACAGTTGGCAGCTCCTCAAAGTCATACAAATAATTACCATATAACCCAGAAATTCCATTACAAGGTATATACCCAAATAATAGAAAAAAGGTATTCAAACAAATGCTTGTATGTGAATGTTTACACTGGCACTATTCACAATAGCCAAAAGATAGAAACAACCAAATACCCATCAACATATGAACAGACAAAGAAAATGTGGTAAAAACACACAATGGAATAGTACTCAGCCATAAAATGGAATGAAGTAGTGTACATGCTGTAATGTGGATGAACCACACAAATATGCTATGTAAAGTAAGCCAGAAACAAAAGGTCACACTGTACGATTTCATTCATATGACATACAGGCATACCTTGTTTTATTGTGCTTCACTTTATTGCACTTTGCAGATACTGTATTTTTTTACAAATTGAAAGTCGCAGCAACCCTGCATCGAGCAAATCCATCAGCACCATTTTTTCCAACAGCATGTGCTCATTTGTATCTCTGTGACATATTTTGGTAATTCTTGTAATATTTCAAACTTTTTTCAATATCATTATATCTGTTATGGTGACCTGTGATCAGTGATCTTTGATGTTATTATTATAATTGCTTCGGGGTGCAAGGACTGTGCCCACGTAAGAGGGCTAACTTAATTGATAAACGTTGTGTATGTTCTGACTGCTCCATGACTGGCCATTCCCTCACCTGTCTCCTTCTCCTCAGGCTTCCCTATTCCCTTAGACAAGCTAAAATGAAATTAGGCCAACTAATTTCCTTTCCTTTCATTTCATTACAGTGGCTTCTAAGTGTTCAGGTTATATAAAAATTAACTTGAAATGGAACAAATACTTGTGTATAAAACCTAAAACTATAAAACTATTAGAATAAAAGATAGAGATAAATCTTTATGACCTTGGATTTGACAAGAGTTTCTTAGATATGACACAAAAAACACAAGAAAAAAAAAAGAAAAAGAAACAAATTGAGCTTCATTAAAATTAAAAACTGTGCCTAAAAGAATACTATTATATAGGAAGCAAAAATTAACATAATTCAAGGGAGAAATAAAGAGTTCTACAATAATAGCTGGAGATTTTAATATTCCCACTTTCAATAAGAGAACTAGACAGAAGATCAATATGGACATGAATGACTTGAACAACACTATAAACCAATTAGACCTAACAGATGTATGCAGAACATTTTACAAACAACAGTAGGGTACACATTCTTCTCAAGTGCACATGGAACATTCTCTAGCGGAGATCATACATTAGGCATCAAAATAAGTCTCAATATATTTTTAAAAATAGAAATCATACAAAGTACCTTCTCTAATAAGAAAAGAATAAAATTAGAAATAAAAAACAAAAGAAAAACTGGAACATCTACAAATACGAGAAAATTAAACAACACACTTGTATACACCAATGAGGCAAAGAAGAAATCATAAGAGAAGTTAGGAAATACTTTGAGGCAAAAAAAAATTATGAAAAACAACATGCTAAAGCTTATGAGATGCAGTGAAAGCAGTGCTCAAATGGAAATTTATAGCAGTAAAATGTCACATTGACATAACTTCACTTTATACCTTAAGGAGTAGAAAATGAAGAGCAAACTAAATCCAAGCTAGCAAAAGGATGGAAATCGTAACAATTAGAATGGAGATAAATGAAATACAAGATAGAGAAACAATAGAAAAAAAAATCAACAAAACCAAAAGGTGGTTCTTTAAAATGATTTCAAAATTAACAAATCTTTAGCTATATTGGCTAAGAAAAAAAGGAGAAGACTCAAATCATTAAAATCAGAAATAAAAGTGAGACATTACTACAGATCTTAAAGATATAAAGAGGATTATAAGAGAATACTATAAATGACTGTATGCCAACAAATTGGATAACTTAGATTGAATGGGAAAATTCCTAGAAATACACAAACTTTGAATACTTGCTCAAGAAGAAATAGAAAATCTGAATAGAACTGTAACAAGTAAAGACATTGACTCAGTAATCAAAAATCTCCTAACAAACACAAGCTCAGGATAAAATGGCTTTACTGGTGAATTCTACCAAGCATTTGAAGAAGAACTAACACCGAGCTTTCTCAAATTCTTTCCAAAAAATTTTAAAAATTGAAAAAGAGGGATCATATTCTGATTTAGTCTATGAGGCCAGCATTGTTCTGATACCAAAAACAAAGACATTACAAGAAAACTACAGACCAATATTTCTTATGATTATAGATGCAAAAATCCTTAACAAAATAGTAGCAAACTAAATCCAACAGCATATTAAAA